AAACAAGAAATGTTAGAGTCGGATGAAACTTAAGAACCTTGCGAGAAAAACCTAAGTTTAAAATGTATATAGATGATAGAATGATTTCTTTTTCATGTTCATTACAATCCTCATCACAAATTTAGATTTCTTTTAATGCTAGTACGTGGTTACTTTTGGATTTGCGAGCATTTGCAAAACAAAGAATGAGGAAACAGAAATATGTGCATGGTTAAGTCTTGCTGTAATAGGTCAAATGGGGCGTCTTTTTTGTCAATGCAAAGCCAAAGGACTAAGATGTTTGTATTTTGACAGATGGTAAATCCCTGCCCTCCTGGCTCAGTCTTGCCCATACTGCATTGACCCATACAACTTAAGTGATGGTTTCATAGCCGAGTCTTATTTTCTCTGAAAGCTTTGAGAGAACTAAGACAACATGTCTAACAGTCTTGGTTAACAGATTAAAAGGACAGACAAGCTTTGTGAGTTTATGGATGGACAAGAGAGGCCAAAGTCTCTTTGGTTTGATCTTGGTTCAGAATGGGATCTTCCTGGGAAAATTCCCAGCGTGAGAAGAGCCTTCCTGGGGTTCTTGACTCTGGGAAACTCAAATGCAAGAAGTGAGGAAAGCAACAACCGGGGATGTGCTGAGAGAAGGGACACCCTTCCGGGTCATGATGTCTTCCAGCAAGGACAAGATTTGTATGCACAGAAGGGAGAGAAGTTATCAAAATTTCTGAGCCCTTCCAGGCTGGTGGTCATTACTCACAACCCAAATTCAGAAAGTGTATATTTTCATAGACCATATGAAAGTGTAACTCTGCACAAAGTGATAGCTCAAAAGGAGCCATCATGTTGCTGTCTTATATTTTTGATCCAAAAAGGTAGATTTTTCTCAAGAAAACATAATCCTAGGGGTACAAGCATTTTATATTTGTGATTGTCATTGCTATTATCTTAATTTAAGGCCTTTAGGTCCATAGTAGTCTGGGAGGTAATGGGCTGGGGTGTCGTGTGTGTGTGTGTGTGTGTGTGTGTGTGTGTGTGTGTAGGGAGGGGCTGAGGGAGTCAGGAGTGATACTACTGGAAAGGCCTCACAGCCCACAGTGAGCAGGCAGATGTAGAGACATGATAGTGACAAACCAAGGGCGGGTGGCGGGTTCAAACCCAGCCCGGCCAGCTAAAATGACACAGCCTGGAGCAGTAGATCACACAGTTCTCAATTCTTCCAGCATCAGATGGGACAAGGTCCATCTCAGCATATCAGGGTGTTGGTGTTGATACATCTCATTTATGGACTAGTTGGAGGCCCCAATCACCTGTAATGCTATTGTTCAAGGTCAAGGTAAAGATCCAAAGCATGCCTAGAAAAGCAATAGGAGTTCTATGGTGAGATAACTACAAGACCAAATGTATTTGTTTCTAGCTTTTCCAGAAAAATTATTGGACTGGAAGAAAAGGTCTTCCAGTATGCCTTATAGGGAAGGCCTTAATATAAGGGTATGCCTTATAGACTCGAACAAAGTTTGGGGAATTACAAAGTCCTTGGAGAAAAAGGATGGGTGGAAGGAGATGTCCTGATCAAAGCCACTGAGAACCACAAATGGCTCCTGCGGGATGCTCTGGTCATCAGTTCCCAGTGTTCCTGACAGGCCTATGCTATAGCTTGTGGACACCCCTTACTAATTGTTACTGTTTTGCTGTCCAGGAAGGAAAGAGTGAAATGCCACACAGATATGTGTGTCATAGTTGGCATTATGGCCATTGTGCTGTTTTGAAAGCATCTTTATAATGTTTTCAAGTGCAGGGAGTCTCAGAGGTGTTAACCAATGAGTCACAGGTAGCCAGTGGACACTCCCAGTGATGCCTCAACAATCCACACCTGTAAAGTTGGTTATGGAGAAGGGTTCTTCAACATGCCAAGTTTATAACTGGAGCACATAGTCCATCCATATAAGAAGTCCCTTTTCACTTCTTGCTGTTTCCCTAAAAAATTATTTTGAAGAATTGGCCTCAGGGGCAATCAGAAAGAAACTCTGTGTCGCTAAGCAAGTGGGACATGTATTTACATAGACTCTTTTCATTGAAGTGCCTTCCCAATATAAGGTGACCAGACGTCTCACTTTTGGCGGGACAGTCCCAATTTTTAACAATTTGTCACACGTCCCACTGCATTTTTAAAAAGTCCCAAGTTTTGGAAAGAATGCACGACAAGCTAGGGAGCAGCGGGAGAATGGGAAGGGAATATACGGTTTTTGGCTGCTGAAAGGTTAATGTAACTCCATTTGGGAATGAAGAGGTTAATGTAACTTCATTTGGAAATGAAAAGGCTAATGTAAACTCCCTACTTCCCTCCTGGGCAAGGTATCAGAAGGAGGCTGGCTCCCTCCCTTGCTTCTAGGCAAGGACAATTAGCTCAGAAGGAGCCAAACGGTCTGGAACAAACAAGTACCCCCCCCATCCCCCCCCCAGCCCCCCTAGAGTAAGGTGACCAGACATCCTGCTTTTGGCAGGACAGTCCTGATTTTTAACAATTTGTCCTGCATCCTGCAGCATTTTTTAAAAGCCCCAATTTTTGGAAAGAATGCACAACAAGCTAGGGAACACGGGAGAACAGGAAGGGAATATACGGTTTTATATTCCCTTGTGGCTATTCTGCCTGGATATGTGTTTTATATTATTTTTGTTAATTTTATAATGTTAAACTTTAATAATAACAAATAATTGTTGAGAACTGATTATCAAGAACTGCTTATCAAAGTTTGCATTGTTGTCAGGCCCCGTCCCCCACAATGGTGTCCGGCTTTTCCAATGTTAAAATCTGGTTACCTTATCTCAATACAGATATTTACTTCCCTGCTTGGAAAATAAGATAGCTCTCATGTTGCAACAAAAGCTAAGTCCTGGTGGTGCCTGTGGCTTGGTGGGTAGGGCACCAGACCCATATACCAAGGGTGGCAGGTTCAAACCCAGCCCGGCCAGCTAAAACAGCAATGACAACTTGCAACAAAAAAAGAACCAGGCGTTGTGGCCGGTGCCTGTAGTCCCAGCTACTTGGTAGGCTGAGGCAAGAGAATTGCTTAAACCCAAGAGTTTGAGGTTGCTGTGAACTGTGACACTATGGTACTCTACTGAGGACAATAGAGTGAGACTCTTGTCTCAAAAAAACCCAAAAAAACAAAAAAACCTAAGTCCTTCCACTTGTGTTTCCAAGAGGAAGTATTTTTCTTTCCTGACAAAGCAGGAAAAAAAAAATGACATGCCCTTGATTTAGCTTAAGCGTGAGCAGTATTTTTTTTCTGAAAGGTCCTTCCATAAAGCCAGTCTAAAGCCTCTGTAAAAATACACTTTGATGAGACCATGAATTTTTCCTGTTCCTAAGCAATTCTTTCTCTATTCTTTCTTCCTGGGATTGACTTTCCACTCTCATTCAATGCTTGGAGGCTAAAGTGTCCTGGATAATGATTTCCTTTGGGGTGATTAAATCTGAAAGTTTTTGCACATCTATCTAAGATTCCATGTTCCTGTACCTTTCTAGGGTTGGGACTGAGTGTGACATTTTCTGTTCAACTTAGCAAAATCAGGTAGACAATCTCAATGTTGTAGGGAAGAAAAGCTAATACCATGGCTGCACATATACACGGGCACATGCTCCCAACAGCTTAAGAAGACAGAATTCAAATGACATCCTTAATGCCTCTCCACCTTGAGACAGAATCTCTTCCTGGGAGCTTAGAAGAAACCACCCATAAGAATAAGCTTCAAACATGAGAAAAGCATCAGGGATGTGCTAAGTACCACATTTACATATACACATAGTACAGGTGATAATAATAATTCAAAGTGACAGTTCTCTAGGCTCAGCTGACCAAGAGTGGTGATGGGAGGTGCTCTGGGGGCAGGAGGCCAGCAGCTCTAGCATTCCCTGAGGTCAACCACAAACTGTTATGGGTGGCATCTGTGTATGGATTTGGTAGCTAATGGGAGAACAAGGGTTGTTTGCACCTGATCAAAGAATAGTTGGTATGAAAAAGAGAGAGAGCACATGGATAGGACTCCATAGGGGCCAGCGTCCCTTCATTAGACCCAAGAGCACCACATGAGTTCAATCCTGGGACCCCTGCCCATGGCCCAGCTTCTTGGGGATTTGTCTTTGCTGGTGAAAATACCTGCTCTCCAACGGGAAGTGTCTTCCAACCCCTTCCTCCATCCAAAGCAAAACTCAGTGTACGTTCTAAGTGAGCTTTCTTCTAACTTGAAGAAAAAAAGAATACAAATTCAGAGATCTAACTATAAAATTCTCCTTTTCATATTATCCTTTGAAAATGAAGACCTAGACTCTTGGGATAAGGTACATGCATCAAAAATTTGCTTTTCAGGATCTGGAGTTAGGTCACTATGTTTCTTGGTGTTGAGAATTGAAGTATCTTGGCTTCTTGAAGTAATTAGTATCCAGGGACTTGATAGTGTGTTGACTGAAGTTTACCATTTTTAAGTTAATTGAAAACATGGGGCTGGGCACAGTGGCTCACTCCTATAATCCTACACTCTAAAAGGCCAAGGTGGGAGGATCCCTTGACCTCAGGAGTTCAAGACCAGCCTGAGCAAGAGCAAGACCCTGTCTCTACTAAAAATATAGACAAAATCAGCCAGGCATTGTGGTGGACACTTATAGTCTCAGGTACTCAGGAGGCTGAGACAGGAGGGTCACATAAGCTCCAGGAGCATGAGGGTGCTGTGAGCTACAATGACACCACTGTACTCTAACCAGGGTGACTGAGTGAAACTCTGTGTCAAAAACAAACAAAAACAAAAACACGAAAGTCCCTTGTTATACGTTTGGTTTTGTCACTATGATCATTTGTTTTCTTAGTTTAGAAATGAGGAGGCTTGCACCTTTCAGCCTCCACTCCTTTCATAGAATCATTATATATTGTTATGATGCCAAGTGACATTTTCACATCTTCAAGCTAATTTTTATTTTAAAATCATTTCAGGAGCTGTAGACCCAGATCACTGACATGTCTGCATTGTGGCTGCTTCTGGGCCTCCTTGCCCTGACTGGTGAGAGTGGTGCATTCTTCTAAATGACCTTGGAGGTGGGAAGGATAAACATAGGAACATACTGGCGCTTCTGACACTTGACACTGACACAGAAAACAGTATTTTTTTCTCCTGAGCTTTCCAATAAATCCCCAAGTTAGGAGCAACCACTGACAAGTAGCCTTTCCTCAACTGCCCCACAAAAGGATGGGGACCTCGAGAATGCTAGGTGGGCTTAAAACAGCGTTGCTTAAGGTCAGACTTTATATACTATAACTGCTCATTGTCTACTATAAAAATACCAGAAGTGTTCACTGAATTTATTTATAAACCAAATATTTCCATGTAAGAATTGAGGTGGTTGCCATAAAAGTACTAATGTAATTCAAATAGAAAACCAAATCCAGGAATTAAGGACATCTGACTAAGCTAACAATTGAGGCTGACATAGTTGCTGTGATGAACTTCAGCTTGGTGCTAGGGTTTGTTGCAGCTGGAGCAAAAGAGCAAAGTGCTTATTTTTTAACAAAAAGAAGCAAGAAGCATAGTTTCTCAGGAGAAGCTAAATTAAATTAACTTCCTGGCTCTAAATTAGAAACATTTCTCAGATGGGGCTTCATATTCATTCATTTATTCATTGCCATATTCATTCAACAAATATTTTTAAATTCTAGAATTTAAGCAAGGGGAATATAAAGATCTTGGAGGATCTCAGATTCAAACTAAGATAGTCGGAAGAAGCAAAAAAAGAGAGATAGAGATCTTGGAGCATCTCGTAATGTGGTTCAGAAGTCCACAAGACAGAAAGCGATTAGTGATACCACCAGCTTCAACATTAGGGATATTTGTTACCAATCCTAAAGATAATCAGTTGGCTCATTCACTCGTTAGTAAACTCATAAAAGACCAGGTCTTATCATTTCTACATTTCTCTCAAATTACTGCTCATGAGCTTGTAAAGTTTATATTTACTCTAAAATACTAGCTTTTTGTTTTTGTTTTTGTTTTTTTGAGACAGAGCCTCAAGCTATCCCCCTGGGTTGAGTGCCGTGGCATCACAGCTCACAGCAACCTCCAACTCCTGGGCTCAAGCGAGTCTCCTGCCTCAACCTCCCAAGTAGCTGGGACCACAGGCGCCCGCCACAACACCTGGCTATTTTTTGGTTGCAGCCATCATTGTTGTTTGGCGGATCCGGGCTGGGGATTCGAACCCGCCACCTTAGGTGTACGTGGCTGGCGCCTTAGCCGGTTGAGCTATAGGCGCCGAGCCAAAATACTAGTTTTTTCAGATGTCAACCCATGAAAGTCTTCAGAAGAAAATAAAACCTTAAAATGTGTCTGTGTAAGCATACAGGACACATATGATAATCTGCAAGAAATATATTTCCGAAGATCTGCAAATCATTAAGGTTTCAGGATGTAACCAACTTCAGTCAAATAGTGAATCGAAAAAAGAAATCTAATGAGAAATTCTTACGGGCTTATAATTGTGAGATGATTCTCACAAGGACTATTCTCTTGTCCCTGGTAGGTGTCTTTATTTTTTTGAAACAGAATCTCACTATGTCACCTTTAGTAAAGTGCTGTGGTGTCACAGCTCACAGCAACCTCAAACTCCTGGGCTTAAGTGATTCTCTCGCCTCAGCCTCCTAAGTAGCTGGGAGAACAGGCACCTGCCACAACACCAGGCCATTTTTTGTTGCAGTTGTCATTGTTGTTTTAGCTGGCCTGGGCCAGTTCAAACCCACCAGCCTCGGTGTATGTGGCCGGCATCCTACCCACTGAGTACGGGCGCTGCCACCCGGTAGGTGTCTTGTTATTGGCTCTCGTGCCCTCCTCCTGTTGTGAAGAGAAGGAATGTCTTTCTCTTCAGTGGCCCAAAGCATCTAAAACCACTTTTTTCCTTCAGTGACACCTGGGATGACAGAGGCAAGTGGGGAGAGATAGAGAAGGCAAAAAAAGAAAGGGAAGAAGAGAGGGAATCCCTGTGCAGAGAGCTGGTCCCAGGCTTCACTGCACGTGTACCCCTTTTTGCAGCCTTACGCCTCTGCCCAGAAGTGCACCCGACAGAAAGGGAAGCCAACGATAAGGCCCAATTTATAGGCAGCACCTTTAATTTGGGGTCTGGATTAAGATGCCAGGGTGACCCAAACTTTATATGTGTTTCTCCAGAGCAAACTTAAGTCTGTCCAAATGTGTTAGGTGTATTTCAGAGGGAAGTGCTGGAGGTTCATATAAGATGAAAGATGAGAACTACTTTATAGGAAACAGATAATCTCTGCTTTGTTCCAAGACACCCACTTGACAGTGTCAGGCAGCCCTGGAGACTTGCAAAGAATATAATTGCTTCAATAGTTCCTCTTGTCTGCAAGACATGTGGTGAGAATTTAGTATCAAAGTGTTTCTTTGATATTTCCTAGCATAGCATTCATTTTAAATTTCAAAAGAGTTTCTATTATGGAGTGAAGTTCATGTTGCTATTGATTTTATCATAGTTATTTTTGTGTCATTTCATTCATGGACAGAAGATGGATGACAATTGCTCTAGTTCAGCACCTTAGGTTGAACTTTTCTCATCTTAGACTCGTCTGAAAGCAGCAACTGGGGATGCTATGGAAACATCCGAACCCTGGTCACCCCGGGGGCATCTTGTGGGATTGGAAGACGCCACGGCCTGAACTACTGTGGTAGTTATAACCCCCTTATCCACTCCTGCCCTCTCGACATAGCATCTTGGCTCCCACCGTTTCCCACAAGCCTCATGTGACTGAGTGGCCAAAAGAGCATTGAGTGTGGAGTCCAAAGCCTTGTCAGAGTCCTGGCTCTGCTTCTTCAACAAGTCACTTACCTTCCTTGACCTCTGTCAAAAGGGGATAATAGTACAGCATTGATTTTACAGTGGGGATGTAAACTGTGATCAATATAATGTGGACCAGAGTGCTTGTTAAGCAATGTAAATACTTAGAAGGCAAGGCTAGCCAGATAAGTTAGTATTAATTTTTAATTTGCCCAGTATTTTGTTGTTGTTGTTGTTGTTGCAATTGTTTAGCTGGCCCAGGCCAGGTTTGAACCCACCATCCTTGATGTATATGACTGGCGCCGTAACTACTGTGCTCCAGGCACCAAGCCATTGCCTAGTATTTTTATTATTTCATAAAGGTTTAAGCTCACATAATTTTAAGATTTAAAGGTGGGCAATTGTAAACAGACCTGTCAAGGAAACTACCAAAGGACTTACAGGGTTTGGGAGACTTTCTCCCTTACACCATGTGCCTGTTGCAGCTAATGGACAGGCACGCCTAATTGGGCAACCCTGGTGGGGTGTGTAGGATGGGACCAGTAGTGCCCAAGTTCATGGAATTGTCCTGGATAGACCAGAGCAGCCTCTCAGTGCCCAGCCGAGGGGCATCGGTGGCCACAGATGATGCCTGCCGGCCTGCCTTGGGGGATGCTAACTCAAGGTCACAAGAGAGGAGAGTCCTAATCCCAAGTTAGGGAATGGGTACTAGGGTTTTAAGACCAAAATTTGGGATTCTCAGTCCAGAGCACTCCCCAGATCCTTGGAGCTCCTATTTCAGCATAAGTCACACCAAGCTGCATCTTTTCTTCTGTGTTCGTTTTAGGAGTTCGTGCTTCCGAAAGGCTGGCTGAAATAGACATGCCGTACCTACTGAAATATCAACCGATGATGCAAACTGTTGGCCAAAAGTACTGCATGGATCCTGCAGTGATCGCTGGTCTTTTGTCTAGGGAGTCTCAGGGTGGCAACATGCTGGTCAACGTGGGCAACGTAGGCAATGTGGGCAATGGGATTAAGGTGGTGCAGGTAACTCTCCATCGATTAACATAACATATAGCCAGTCTACTATATGGCACAACTCCAAGGAGGCACCTTTACTATATTTTTTTGGTTTTTTGGATAATGGCATGGCTTGGGCACACACACAGAGTAAATGAAACTCCTTGGAGTTGCAAGAGTCCCAGTTCTACCTGAGAGATATGAATGACAACATTTCTGCTTCATTTTGAGTCACATTTCCCTTTCAAAGTTAAATTATACCATATTTCCAGAATAGGGGACCCTATTCTGTATTTCCAACAGGGCATGGGTCTAGAAAAAGGATCATAGATTGAATCTTTGCTCAGTTATTTTGTAGCCATGTAACCTTGAATACATCATTCAATCTCACTGGCTCTCAGTTTCCCCACCTATAAATGTCATTCTTGTAATTATGAAGCTTCCATGATATCAGGTGAAAAAATATCTGGTATCTGGTAGATTCTCAACAAATGTTAAATTCCTTTTCCCTACACAATTCTTAGTTCTAGGGTGGCTCCTGTGGCTCAAAGGGGTAGGGCACCAGCTCCATATGCTGGAGGGGGTGGGTTCAAACCCAGCCCCGCCCCCCCCCCAAATTCTTAGTTCTAAAGATCAAGTTTTATTCTTACACTAATTCTTCCTGGCATCACTTGGCAGATAGAGACTCTTGGGGAATTGGTCATTAACCTGACTATTGGATTAACTCTGCACTTGGGAATCAGTGGTGACAAGGGTGAGACTGAGGCTTGATTTTTTCCCATTGCATACTGTTGTTGAAAAACTTGAGTATCACAGTCATGTTTTAATGTTTTGGAAGAATTTATTTCTCAGTGTTCTCTTTAAATCTGCTTCCCACGACTACTTGGTATGATGCGTTATAATTTTAAAAGTATTTTCAAATACTTTATCTTATTTTGATTTGTGGACCCATCCAATAATCTGATGAGATAAGGACGGGGCATGTAATCCATCCTCGAAAGGGAAGAGATGGATGCACAAGGAGGTGTCACGCCTGCAAAGTCTCATGCAGCTGGGATGATGCAGGGCTGGCCTAGGACGGCGTCTGGGATGTTGGAGCTGGCATCATTTCTGCTGCCCTGTCTGCCTCTTTCCTAAAATCTGATTTTGAGGAAAAGGATGAGTTTATCTCCCTGGAAGATGAAATAAGAAGTCTCCAGATTCAGACATTTCTCTTAAATATGGTAAAACCTACATGGAAGTGTTAATCAAAGGTATATAAGAAAGGTTAATCAATTAAGTGTGTGACAGTTTTATATATATAAATAAATGTGTATACACGTGTATATACACATATGAAAAGTTAGATTTCCCTTTAGACACTCAGATCATCTGAAAAGGGAATTATAAGCACAGAAAACCCTCTCTGGCGCTGTCTCCTGTAGCTCAAAGGAGTAGGGTACTGGCCCCATATGCCAGAAGTGGTGGGTTCAAACCCAGCCCTGGCCAAAAAGTGCAAAAAAAAAAAAAAAAAAAAAAACCCTCTCTGGCCGATTTGGAGGGTCTGCAATTGGGACATCAAAGGAAGGTATCAGACTGCTATCTACACTACCTCAGCCATTAACTGGACCTGTCACCCTAACACTGAAGCAGCAGTGTACAGTCTGTCTGCCCATCCCTTCCATAGGCAAACTTTGTAACTTTACTATTTTTTCCCCTTTGGTAACTTAACATGAGACCTATCATTTCAAGAGATTTCTAAGTGTACAATACTGTATCATTAGCTATGGGCACAGGGTCATACATCAGATCTTAGGACTTCCTCATCTTGCATGACTGACATTTTATATGCATTGATTAGCAACACCATGTTTCCCTGTCCTCCAGTCCCTGGCAACCACCATTATAGTCTTTGCTTCTATGAATTTAACTATTTTAGATGCTTCATGTAAGAGGAGCCATGCAGTTATTTGTCTTTCTGTGACTGGTTTATTTCACTTATACGATGTCCTCAGGGTTCTTCTGTGTTGTCATATATTGCAAGATTTCCTCCTTGTTAAAGATAGAGTAAAAATCCATGGTATGTGTATATGTAAATATATATATATGTAAAACATTTTCTTTATTCATGGGCATTTAGGCTGTCTCCACCTCTTAGCTCTTGTGAATAGCTCCGTAATGAACATGAACATGGGAGTACGGTTATCTCTCTGAGATACTGACTTCAATTCTTTTGGATAAATTCCCAGAGGGGGGGGGTGCCAGATCATATGGTAGTTCTAATTTTAACTTTTTGAGCAACCACCAGACTGTTTTCCATGATGGTTGTACCATTTTGCATTCCTAGCAATAGTGCACAAAGATTTCAGTTTCTCAACATACTCATCAACACCTGTCTTTGTTGCTTATAACAGAATACCTGAAATTGGGTAATTTATAAGAAATAGAATTTTATATCTTACAGTTCTGGAGTCTGGGAAGTCCAAGGTTGAGGGAGTAAATCTGGTGAGAGGCTTCTTGCTGGTGGGGCCTCTCTGTAGAGTTCCAAGATGGCACAGGTCATCCCATGCCAAGGGGGTTAAGTGTGCTAGCTCAGGTCTCTCTACCTCTTCTTACAAAGCCACCAGTCCCACTCCTGTGATAACCCATTTATCCATGAATGCATGCTCATGACCCAATCGCCTCTTAGAGTTACTGCCACATTGGAGACTAAGTTTCAGAGGGGAGGAACATTCAGACTATAACACTTGTCTTTTGTGTTTTTGACAATCAACATCCTAACAGACATAAGTAGCTTTACCATTTAATCCTAATGGGAGAGGACTGAGGGTTTAATCCCCATTCGTTCCACCAAATATGGAAGGAGAACAAGAGAAAGGAAAGAAGAGAGCGGCACTGAGCCTCAGAGTTACCCTCCTGTCTGGTTTACCCAACTCTTCCTCTGCTCCCCTTCTCCAGGATGCTGACTTTTCCACACCCATGTCCTGGATTAGTGAGTCCCGGGTTTCTCAGATAACTGAGACTCTTACCATTAGAATCAAAGAAATCCAGAGGAGGTTTCCAGCCTGGACCCCTGACCAGCACCTGAGGGGTACGTATAGCACAAGTCAGTTGTTTCACAGTACAGCATTAACACAGACACGTGTAATACACATATGTTGCACCAGATTCCCCCAAACCGCAGCTGCCTCCTACTAGGCAGTTAAGAGAAAGCTGGCCTGGCATGGTGGCTCCCACCTATAATCCTAGCACTCTGGGAGACTGAGGCTGGTCTCAGGATCAGGATCACCTGAGCTCACAAGTTTGAGACCAGCCTGAGCAGTGTGAGACCGTCTCTAAAAAATAGCCGGGCATTGTGGCAGGTGCCTGTAGTCCCAGCTACTGGGGAGGCTGAGACAAGAGTTTGCTTGAGCCCAAGAGTTTGAGGTTGCTGTGAGCTGTGATGGTACAGCACTCTACCAAGGATGACAAAGTGAAACTCTGTCTCAAAAGAGAAAGTTAACTGCTGAATACCCTGAAGCAGCAAAGCATTTGCCAGGCTAGCATTATTCTATCCTGTGCATTTCAGGAGGACTCTGTGCCTACAGTGGGGGTGCTGGCTATGTCAGAAGCAGCGAGGACCTGAGCTGTGACTTCTGCAATGATGTCCTTGCCAGAGCCAAGTACCTCAAGAGACACGGCTTCTAACACTTCAGATGAATCCAAATTATTATCACAGATGAGGCCTCTACTGTTACACAGATAAAACCAGTCATTGGGGCCTATAACTACAAATCGGAATTTGACCTGAAGGTCATCAAGATACCATGAATCACATTAAAGGAAGAATTATTACTTGCATTTTGTTTTCTGTGTGGGGAGGGGGCAGTGAGAATTAAGGGTTACAACGTCTCATTAAAGGTGTTTCTATGGGCTCAGCGCCTGTGGCTTAAGTGGCTAAGGCACCAGCCACATACACCTAAGGTGGCGGGTTTGAATCCAGCCCGGGGCCCACCAAACAACAATGATGGCTGCAAACAAACAAACAAAAAAATAGCCAGGCCTTGTGGCGGGCGCCTGCAGTCCCAGCTACTTGGGAGGCTGAGGCAGGAGAATCGCTTGAGCCCAGGAGTTGAAGGTTGCTGTGAGCTGT